GAGTAACACACCTACACCATGTACATTGTTAGCTACTAGTCTGATGGTTAAATAGAACAATACACCAATAACACATACTAGAGTAACACACCTACACCATGTACATTGTTAGCTACTAGTCTGATGGTTAAATAGAACAATACACCAATAACACATACTAGAGTAACACACCTACACCATGTACATTGTTAGCTACTAGTCTGATGATTAAGTAGAATAATACACCAATAACACATACTAGAGTAACACACCTACACTTTGTACATGGTTAGCTACTAGTCTGATGGTTAAATAGAACAATACACCAATAGCACATACTAGAGTAACACACCTACACCATGTACATTGTTGTCTAGTGGTCAATTAGAACGGTACACGTTAGTAACAATTAAATTCTTTATTAGAACAACGTTTCGACCGTCCTACTGCGGCCATCATTAGGGTTAGTATCTTGACAGTGCATCAAAAATACGGATAATACATAAATAATTATTTAACATGCAAACCACTTAGACAACAAACTAGCCTTCTTAGAAATCCAACAAAATAACTTCTGCAGCGTATAGTATATTATTTCATAACTACAATAAATCAGTAATCCATAGTTTAACGCTGATCCTTAGGATATTCAATCCGTTGATTTTGATATAAGGTCTATCAATAATAAACCGATTGGGTTCGTTATATATTTTAGTACACAAAATTTACAGGTATTTTTGAATTTTTTTCAGACGAAAGAAGCTCCAATCTTCGTAAGTGGGAATCGTCGGACGAATATAACGAAGAGAAATCGAGTAAACAACAGACCAACAACGATGAAACCAATTCGAATCTTCTATGGAATATTAAAGATGAAACTAGCTACAACCAACGAAACGGAGAGTCAGGGATCAATAGAGAGAAATCTAATAAGAAAAGACAGTGGTATGAACTTTTTTTCGAATAAAAAAATTGTAAATGATGATTCCGACGAAGATTACAGTGCATCATCTTTTTACTATTATGACGAAGGAGGAATTCAAATGAATCAAAACCACAACAGCAACATTGATATAAAACTGGCAAACAATGACAACTCATACAATAAAGAAAGTGAGTAGTTTTCGGAGTGAGGGTCTGATAGAAAAATTGGGTTATCCTAATGAAAATTAATACGAAAAATAGTATACGAAAGGTAGATTTGTCTGGAAACGGCAAAATGTGAGTTTCATTTTCTTAAACTTTAAAAGATGGAATAGTTTGAGTGGGTTTCCTCAAGTTTGGTATGATAATGTTTGAATGCACCAATATACAATATATAGTTATAAATTAAACACACTAACAAATTTAACTAGATTTGTTTTTCTTTAGCTTTTTATTACAATGATTTCTAATTGATTTCATTCGCCATTGATTCATATTTCTAACTTAATATAGCTCTTGAAATATTTTTAGTAACATGTTTCATGTTGACAGATAATAAATAGAAGTAGAAAAAATAAAACTGTTATTAACCTTAAAGGTTCAGTTGCAAAAGCGTTTAATTTTGTTATAAATATTCAAGCTTTCAAACTTTTTTATCCTACGCACTATAGAAAAAGCGCCACCAACCGCAATTTGTATGTAATTACTAATAACCGCTATAAATCAAATGTCACGTGCAGGTCGCAGAAGGTGGTGATAGACAGTAAGTGTCCTCGTTTAATTGTTATAATTGACATTTCACGGAGATCACGAAGTAATTATAACAGTAATTAATTACCTATTGGATTGACAGTATTTTGCGAATGATCTTTTAGTCGTATAAAGAGTTTATTTGAATAAACATTGCATTTTGATTTTGAGAGCGTATTTGTTTGACTGTCTTTTTTTTTATTCAACCTTTGTGTGTGCATCATCTAGACTAGTCTTACCACTAGCACTAGTGCTCTCAGTTCTCCAGGCTTCATTTTTACTTAGAATAAGGTAAGTGCCTTTTTTTTTGTACATTTTGAAACAAATACGCGTATTTTCTTCGGTTTTTCAAGCTCCGTTTTTGTGTATAACGTAAATTATTTGTTACACTTCCCCCTTCTGGCTAAGCAGTACGTACGAGGATTTATAATACTGTTACGCCTCCAGTCGTTAGTTAATTTTCTGTAACTTCGTTCCGACGAAACTTTAGCGACACAAGTCCTTTCTTAAATAAAACTGGTTTATTCTTTCTGAATATAACTTTGCGATACACTTAATTTCAACAATCGCGCTGTAACAAACGCTATAATTCAAACGAAGGTCTCACGTGCTCAACAATATTCTCTCTGACTGCAGTTCAATATTATGCAGCTCTGCGCTAAAACAAACAAACTGTATCTAGACATGCGCATCATTGCAATTGCGACTGACCCTCATACACA